ACAGTGTAGCTCTAAGGCCAAATACAGTTTCCATGAGAGGGAAAAAAATCTGCTAAAAATTCAGGTCCACTCTTGTCTGGTGAGATGCTTGTATTCCACTGCAAAATCTCCAAATGGGACTCACTAAGCAAAGCCATCTGATATTCCTAATTCCTACAGTTTTACTTGTGCAGTTCCAGTGCTTTGGACCTTTCAAGGTGGATTGCAAGACACCATAAGCAGGCCTGGGAACATGAAAGAATTCAGTTCATAAGACCTATTTATGTAGAAATACCATTTCCTACATAGAATCCAGCCATAAGAATCCCAAGATCCTTGTGTTTTCTGGACCGTTATTGTCTAGAAAACCAGGAATCCTTGGTACAGAAAGTAAAACAAAAAGTAAGAAGAAATCAAGTTATTTGGGGCTTTCCTCATAAATTAGAAAGCAGCAAGACTGTATTTCTCTTAAAAGCTTTATTTACATATGCTGGACATAGCCAGTAAGCAACAGTATTGTGTTGAACCATTACTGAGCAAAAGGAGGCAGAAAAACAGCAGAAAAGAAAGTGTAGTGGAAGGCCCTGGCATGTACCACTGTACACATTTGATAATTGAGTATGTATGCATCACAGTTCCATATGCGTCTACTGATGAGCAAGCAACCAATATATGAGTTTTGTACCACTGTACTGTTTTAGTTCCAAGTGTGAGCCTGAACCACCAAACCTGCAAAGAGCAATTGTGGCATGTAGTGTGTTGCCCAGCCTTGGTAATGACCTATTCAAGCAAAGTAAAGCATTCCTCAAATAGATGAAGCCTGTTAGAAATAGCACTGAAACAAGTTAAAAACACAGACTGAGGGAGCTTTCAGTAGTTTACAAAAGTGTGAATAATTTTGAGGGCATTAATGGCAATTATGTGTCTCCTAATGTAACAGTTTTAACACTCGGGAGTTCTGCTCTAGGATGTTACTGTTCAATTCAAAGTTCAGTGACCACTGTTCAGTGGTCAAATTTCTGGTCTGTTCCAGACAATCTTTTTACAGTGGCAGAAAAAGGAACTGCATGAGGCCACACAAACATTTCTTCCCTATTTCAGAAGATTTTATGACTTTCAGACACAAATTTTATCATTGTATTATTATATGTTGGGAAAATTCATCAGTTTTTCTGTTTATCACTGTGGTTTATCCAATGGCCTAATTAGCTGTGAGAACTGGGTCTCTAATCCCTTGGCTGGCTCTGACCTTGAGTGACTTTGGGTAAAAAAAAATTATTTCTCAGCTTGATTTTATCCATCACGAAGATACTAATGTTGAATTTTTCTCCTCATGGCTTTAAAGGAACTCTCGCCTATGAATTCTTCTGGTGAATGGGAGAGAAAGAGTAAGAAAGCCAATTATAGCAGGCTCCTTCCTTAGAGGCAGAAAGATTCATCCATAACAAAACTTTATAAACCTAACTAAAATATGTATCTCTCCTTCTGCCTGTGGAATAACAGCATGTGGGTTTGATAAACAGTATTGTTTAAAACCAGGACAGTATAGGTTATTTATCATGATAATGCTAAGAAAATAATATTTTCTACTGGTGGCCATGACCTTGAAAAGGACATTCAAATTCTGTTTTGTACCTCTTTGCACACACAGATAGAGTTGCCACGTCCTAATCACTGAGACCCCAGTTATCTTACATTTGCAGTATTTGCTATATTTGCAGAAGAGACAATCAGCAAAACTCCTTCTGAAGGATATAAAACAGGCGCTGCATATAATGCTGTATGTGCAGGCATATTCTAACACGATTCCAAAAGAACCAAGACTTTCATCTATACTGTGTCTTTGGGTATAGATACAGACCTTAAGGCAAGAAAACAGGAAATAACAGGATTACAGTTTTAATTTTGGACTTCAAGACTACAAAAATGGAGAACGCACCACAGAAGAGGCACCATGTGCACTCAAGGGCCATCCATCTGAGTAACACTTAACAGAGGAAAATTTATTGAACTGGTTTTTAACTGAAGTGCGGAGAAACAAAATTATCAGATCAAGGACTTCCAAGATTAAGCACAGACTCTTCCAGGTCCCACTGAAATACCTGGCATGCAGTTCTGTATTTTATCAGACGCATAGGGAGTAGCTCATGTGGGAGGTCATGCTTTTTTGGTAGGATGAAACCTAGCGCAGCCAAGACAGCATTGTTGTGCTCAGAGAGAAGAAAGTTATATTCAGGAGGAGTCAGTCTCTCACAGAAATTAAGTATCTCTAGCCAGCCCAGTTACTAGCTTGCAAACTAGCTTGCTCTTCTAGGAACTGAAAGAGAGCAACTGGTGGTCTGTATTTTACATCTGGGTGAAACAATTGCCATTTGCATTTAATTGCCACTTGCCTTTTTGCATGGTCATGTCTGCCTGCTCTCATAAGAAGTCCTTGGCTCCCATCAAAATGGTTCTCAAAATGATCTCCATTTCCCCCTACAGCTTATCTAATTCACAGGTATTGTTTGCTGTCACTGAAAATGCCCACAACACACTGGAACTTTAGACTTTTAGACCCAGGTTATCATCTCAGTAGGCACTGTTTATGAAAGTGCATGCAGCTAAAGGAAAGCTGGAAGTGAACCAGGTGGTGAGAAACCAGGAACACCTTTGTACCAGGAACAGAGTGCACATGCATGTAAGGTATCAAGCAGAGGCTGTAAAAGGCACGGGAGTGAAGCATGGGAGTGAGGTGGTGCCAGGAATGAGGTCGGCACTTCCTCCTTTCAACACCTTCTGGTTCACTTTTGCCTTTCCCAGCACCTTGATACTTAAGCTGCACTGGTGTGGACCCTCATGGCCTTTGAAACAGACTGAGAAGATATTTCACCAACATAAATGCTTAAGAATTGTTGGGCTGAGACAGACATATGGGAGCTGTGGTGTAAGACAGTAAAGAAGATAGAGGTGTTGGATTGGCAAAGGGAATAGATGAAGGAATGCCACTGAACACAGTAGATGGAAAACTTGGAGAAAATGAAAGCGGGTGGGAGAAGGTAAAAAAGATGTGTTTCACCCATGCTATTATCATGGATGGAATTTAGGGAAAGGCCAGGAAGTCACAGTAAGAAAGGCAGAAACAAAATGCATGATATATGTGCCCAGGGAAGAAACAGGGCCCTGTTGCAGGTCTTTCACTCATCTCAAGTTTGGCCTGCTTCCATGAAGTGGCAGGAAACCAACAATGACAGGACGAAAAGTCCTCGTGGTGTGGACAGACTAACACACTTGTCTGGAGTACAGGGCCTTGAGGGGAAGCCACATGAGAAAGTGGCTGAGGTCCTTTGATCTGTTCATCCTGGAGGAGACTGAGGGGAGACCTCATTGTAGTCTACAACTTCCTCATGAGAAGAAGAGGAGGGGCAGACACTGGTGACCAGTGACAAGAGCTGAAGGCACAGCATGAAGTTTTGTCAGAGGAGGTTAGGCTGGACATTAAAGAGAGGTTCTTCACCCAGAGAGTGTTTGGGCACTGGAGCAGGCTCTCCAGGAAAGTGACCACAGCACCAAGCCTGAGAGAGTTCAAGAAGCATTGGAAAACACTCTCAGGCATATGGTGTCATTTATGGGGTTGGTCTTATTTCACGACCTCTGTTACTCTCTTCCAAGTCAAGCTACTCTGTGGTTGTGTTCTGTGAGTGGGACAACACATGGCACACCTTAGGCATCTTCTTTACAGAGCTGGAGTTTAATTGAAGAACGCTTCTAGCTGTCTTCTGCAGGCCTGACACAGACACAACACGGGGAAAAGAAAAAAAAAACACAAAAAACCAAAAAAAAAAACAAAACAAAAAACCACGAAGACTCCAGCCCTGTGCCTGGAGTCGCAGCACCCCAAATTGACAGAATGAGTAACGCGATCAGTGACGGAACGCCGCCTCAGGGCATGCGCCCAGCTGTTCCCGGCCGCTCTTTCTGCGCTCCTTTTACATTAAAAAAGCTGATTAATGCGTGTCCTTCGGTCAGGCCGGTGCCGGGTTCCGTTACCTCGGCCGCTTCCTCGCCCCGGGCGGGGCCCGCCCTGGCCCGGCAGCCCGCGCGGGAGGGCCGCCGCCCTGCCGGGGAGCTTCCTCTTCCTCCGGCAGCGCGGCCGGGGCGGGAGGAGGAAGGGGAAGGGGCCGGGGCCGGGAAGGCTCCAGCGCGGCCGCCGCCGTCGCTGGTGCGGCAGGGGCGGAGCGGCGCGGGAGGCGGCGCCGGCGGCCGGCGGCGCCCGGAGTCACCGTGTCACGGCGCCCGGGAAGCCGTTGCCACCGGATCCGCCCCCCGCAGGGCGAGCGAGGAGGCAGGAGGAGGAGGAGGAGGAGGAGGGAGGCCGCCTGCTCGCCGCCTCTTGTGTTTTCGCCCCCTTCCCGGCCCAGCCCCGGCCCCTCTCCTCTCGCACCGGGGCGGCGGTGGGGGGCGAGGCCGCAGCGGCGCCCGAGCTGCCCGCGGGAGCCCCGGGACGGGCCTGGGCCGCCGTCTCTGGACTAGGATGTCCCGACATGAAGGTGAGCGGCGCGGGGCGCCCAGGCCGCTCCCGGCGGCGGCGGGGCCCGGCGCGGCGGCCTTGGGGGCCGATCATCATCATGGCGCCGCCGGGAGCGGGGCCCGGGGCCCGGCGGCGGAAGGAAGGCGAGGCCCGGGCGGGCGGGCCGCGCTCTGCAGTGTCATAGCGGGGGAGGCCGGTACGGCCCGCTCGCCGCGCGGCCTCCGCCGGGCGGGGCCGGGGCCGCAGGTACGGCCGGCGGCGGGGCAGCCGAGCCGCCCCGCTCCTCCGCCCGTCCTTCGGGCGGAGCGAGGCGCGGCGCCCTCGGCGGGCCCGGCCGCCGTGGGTGGGCGGTGGCGCGGGGCGGCCCTGCCGACGTGTCGGCCGCCGCGGCGGGTCCCGCCGGGCTGCGCGGCCCCCTGGGTGCCGGGGAGCGGGGCCGGGCAGGAGTGTGCGGGCGGCCTGCCTCTGGGGCTGGCGAGGGCTGGCGTGTGTGCTGCCGGCCGCGGGATCTGCCCGCGTCCCCTCGGTTGTGCCTTGCGGCCGAGGAGGCCGGTGCTGGTGTGGTAGTGGCATGTTTTGAGGCCGCTGGAGAAGCGTGTTCTCTGCGTGCTGCTTTGCCGCTGGTCCCCCTGTGTGTACCGCCGTGCGGGAGTTCACTGGGTAGTTAGTCAGGAGGAGAAGGGTAGAGGAAGAGGTGGAAGCTAAGAAAGGAATTTTTGCAGGAAGAAGATGGGAGTATGCAACCAAGAAAGAGAGAAAGTTGCTCAGTTTTTCCGCGTTTGTTTACCAGCGGGTAAAGTGTTTGAGCCAGTATTTTATAAAACCAGGGTTTATCATCTGAAAAGGTAACTTTATGCATTGTTAGGAACTTCATTCAGTATTATCTTTATTTACTCTAATTTATAATTTCTCCGTTTCATCTTAAAACAGTTTGACAGAAACATTATAGGAGAATTCGGTATTTGTGGCTCATACTGCTGGCTTCTAGTTAGTAGCTTGATTTTAGGCAGTGTGGTATATGTGATGGGTTTTTGGTGTGCGTCGCAGTATTTTGCAGACTTCTTGTTTGTGCAAGTATGTGTACACCTCTATCAAAGAATTGTGTTCCCTGAATCTTACTAACTCTTGTTGTTTACTTGTTAAAATCAAAGCTTAGTAAGACTGCTCCTGTTTCTCCCTCTGCCTTCATGTTTTCCCAGGAGGGTGGAGATGGATTTTTTTATGGTTAAACATGCAGTTTTTACTGAAATGAAAGAATCATTGATCATAAAGTTGCTATTGGTGGTGGTGTAGTAGGATTTTGCAGTCTGCAAGTATGCGCTGTCATGCATGTACCAAAATGTTCTCTTTAATTCACAGTAGTGGAATACAGGCTTTTCTAACTTGAATAGGTTAAATTTACGCAAGCTTTATCATAGTGATAAGTGATATCATTTGTTGTTCTTTAGTGACTTTGAGTGACAAGTGCATGGACTTAAGAAGTGGTGATAATGTGTTAAAAACACATTCCAGCCCTGTCTTTTTATTAAAATAGAATTTAAAAATAGTTTTTCTTGTGTGTTTCTTATGGAAACTGTAGCATGGATTTTCCTTTCAGTTATTAGACGTTTTTTAGCAGGGAAAATTACATTTCCTGTCTTTGATATTTGTTGGTATTTTTAAAAGGTGTGACTGTTAATGAAATTTGGCTTAATATTCTCTTTCCAAAGCAGATTAATTTAGACACACCTAGTTAGAAAAAAGATAATTGCCTGATTAATTACCTAATTGGTGAGTGTGAATTTTGGGTCCTGGGCATAGACTTCTCAGGTGTGTGACTGAACAAACAATGCATTCCTAAAACCATAACAACACTGTGACATTACAAATGACATCTACCACTGTGTCCTTGTGATTTTATTTTAAAAGCTAGTCTGTTCCTTAATTTCTCAATGATTCTTCTCTTCACACTTCAGATATGTTCTTTTAGGAAACTTTAGTTAGCTTAATAGTTAGTAAACTATAGTTTATTCTGCAGGGGTAGAATAACACATATTAGTATGGGAGGGATGGCTTTATGGAGAAGAGGTCTGGGGACTTGATTTTGGTAGAACTCTGGAAATCCACAGAAACTGTATGCTCAGAAAGAAAGGTAATTCTTGCTTCAGAACTGTGCAAGGTTACAGCTGACAGTTTTTGATCCATTATGACTAGTTTGGGGATGGCTGTCTTGGAAGAATATGGTATAGGGAAAAAGCAAGCTTTAATCACGTTTATGTTAATAGTTTTCCTGTGTATTTTCTTTAAAATGGTCTGTACACAAAGTTACAAGCAAGATTTATTGATATTTCTTGACAGAATTGGGATGCTGTACCAATTTTATGATGGAAAAGTATCTGGATGTGTAAATGCTGGAGAAGCTAGAATTCTAAAGGCTTGGGACCTGGAAGTAGGCTGTAAAGCATCTGATGGAGATTTAGTGTCCATTGGGCTTTCTTGACTGCTTCTTTGGTGTAATAAATTGTACGAAGCAACTGTTTGGGGTATTTTGGTTAGTTGGCTTTGTTGTTGTTTTTTTAAAAGTGAGATTTTGTTGTCCTTCACAGAAAGTTTCACCACGGCCTTCCTTTTCAGTGTGCTTTGATTTCACACATGAGGTCCAGACTCCCGTTTCTCCCAAATCCAGGAAAATAGACACCAACTAGAATTTGAATTAGTGTTGCTTTTTTGGATGTGTTTATTCAATGTTCAAGAGACTTCCTTGGTAATGCTGTCAAGAGTTAAGTACTTATCTCTCAGTATTGCTAGGCTTTTCCAATTTTTCAAAACCATTTTTGCTGTGATTTGGTGTTAAGAGGCTAGCTTTTGGTTTTGTAGAATGCAAAATTAGGTCATTCCCTGGTCTTGGTATTCATGCTGTTCCCTTTATGGGAGCAGTATGCTGTGTTTCTCTGGGTTAGCCCCTCTGTGGAGGAATATATGGTGGTGTAATATTTGGCAGCCTATGAGGAACAGGTAGGTAATTTTTTTTTTTTTTTGCTCTGTGGAGTTTTTGAGAAGGTATTTTGCTTATTACAGGTTATGTCTTTTTGTAAACATGTGGCAATGATTCTCTTATTTGGCAGTAGATACCACCCAGGACAGCAGAAAAAATCAAGAATTGCAACTTACAGGAATATCATTACAAGTCCATTTTTGCAACTTGTTTTGTGGAACTAGGTCGCAACAGCATTAACTGGCCTGGGTTCAAATTCCCTCTAGCTGGCATCTCCAGAGGGCTTCCAGTTCCATATCACCTGCATCACTTAGTTGTCCATCTCTCATGCTCTGTGCCTCTCCCCCAGACCCAGTTCCATCCTTTTCTGCTTGTTCTCTACTAAAGGAGGTGGTCTTTAAGCTTCTGAGAGTTGTCAGCAATGCAGGTGCTGGGTTTTTTTGCAGGTCCCCATTTGCCAGTATTTCTTACAAATCAGTAAAGGTCTGTAGGTAATCCTAGTCCCACGTGAAGAAAATTGTGGATGGTTGGTGGTAACACAGTAGGAAGGGAGAGCAGTGGCTATCAGGACCATGTGGCCTTTCCAAATATTCTCCTCTGGCTTTAAGATCCTTTTAGCAGAGGGAGCCAGTGTTTCTGTGCTCCTTTTCTTTGTGTGTATACATAAATGTGTTTTGTAGAGATACTGAAATCAAGTACTTACTCGTAGTGGAGAAGTAAATAAGTAAATTTTTAAAAAGAAATGCATGTGATTTCATCTTTGAAATTGATGAAATCATACTTAGAGTTGAATATATAGCAACCACTTGAAAACCGTTAGTGTAAGGGTAATGTTCGATTCAGTCCTCTAGCTGTGCAGTGAAAAGTTTGGGAGTCTGAGTTGATGATGTTTTCTATAAGGTCCCAATACAAAACATAAAACTTTTTGAGAACAGTTTAAAAACAGAGTAATTTCTGCCCTTTGTAATGATGCAGTAGCTGTGTCATACTTGAGCTGCAGAAGGGTACTACAAACTCCAGTGCTCAGCCAGTTGATGTATAACTTAATACTTCATATGGTGTCAGTTAGGAAGGTGCCACGCAAAATGCAGAATCACTATATTTTTGCACGTAAAACTTCTAATTCACTTAACAAGACTATATCTTTTTTGTACAAAGTACTCAAGATTAATTGGTTAAGTGTGGCATGTAATAATGAAATGCGCCTCCGTGAGACCAGTTACAACTTGCTGCCTTCCAGTGCTTACTTTGCTTGCATCTATTCCAAACAGGGAGTTTGCTGTATTTCACAATACAGAATAAGCATAAATTCTTTCATGTATTGCTGCCACTGAGACCTCTTTTGTAGAACATAAATCCAGATTAAGTTGTATATATAACATAAAATTGTGAGTTTTTTTGAATTTAAACTAATATTTGACTCTGCGAAAGAATTTTCTAACTGTATGTGCAAAGTGTGTTTTGTGCTTTGTTAGTTTTACTCTATGGTAGCATTATTAATGTATCTAATTACAGATGTAGTGCAGTATCTGAAAATGATTTAGTGTGACAGTTTGACTAGCAAGAGCCATGTTTAGGCACAAAAAATGCTAACATTAAAAGTAAACAGCTGCAAATGTGATTGGAAATATTTGAACACAGTAATTTGCTTTTTTGTTAAATTTGTTTGACTCCAGTAGGCAAGTGAATTATCACTTAATGATAAAAAGAGCTGGAAACAGAATTCATATTTTAAGTGGTAAGGTACTTATTGGCTTTATAGAAACTAGGTTTTAATAAAAGGATTCTGGCTTTGGTTTAGGAAACTGTGTGAACCAAGCTGCTGCTGTTTCTATAGAGTCTGAACAAGGTCCTCCAAAAATGTCTGTAAAAGGAGATAGTTTTTTTTTCTCTCAGGTCTTTACAAAAAATAATGACACCATCATGGGAAAAGGGAGAAAAAGGTCAGATATAAACTACTAATGTTGAAAGGCTGATAGCCTATATCTTAAACAGGAAAATTGGAACAGAACTATGATGCTTTTAACCTTATTGGGTGAGGGTGAAGAGAGAAAACAGACGGTGAAAAAGCTCTCTTCCAAATGTTGATTTGAACACAGAGGGATTCAGGGGACATTTATAGAGCCATGAACATTGCTTGAGTGGTGCTGGACAAATAAAATTCCTACATGTTAAATAAAAAGAAGAAAGCTTTTCAAATACTTTTGCATGTTTACATTACTGATTACATTTGAGGGAGAGTTGTTGGTCTCACTGTTCATTGTTGTGTCTTTATTGGTATGTTACTTCCGTTCTTGTTAAATACAAAACCAAAGCAGTGACTAATAGAAAAAAGTGTTAATGCATTCAACAAGCTGCTGGACACAGCAGCATATTTGAAGAATGTTGCTCAGGAATTTGGATGTACCAGAGAGAGGCTGCAGAGACAGCAATAATTCAACCTCGTTTGAGTATACTTATTTTGTACACGCTACTCCAAACCACCCTGCATTCTTTAGGGTGTGCAGGAGGGTTCTCTGTGTTAGACCACTGCTCAGTGTTTGGGAGTGTACAGCAAATGAGCAGATAGAGATATTACAGAAAGAAAGGATGGCCAAGATGTTGACAGTGGAGCTTTGTTGTGGAAAGCTGGATCAGCTGTCCTGTCCCCTGTTGCAGTTCATGTGAACTACTAGGTAAGTTACTTTGTCAGGAATTCACAGGTAGCTGTTTGTTTCTTACGAAGACCTGGTTTGCGATTTTGGGATCTGAACACTCAGACTTGCAACTGTATTAACTGAGCTGTGAGCTTTGAAAAAACACTTAGTTGTAGAAAATCAGGAATTCTTAAAAATCCATCCTTTAGCATCTCAGATTGGGTGACTGAGTTCA